CTGTCTGAAGTTCCTTTGATGGAATTAAATACATAAAGCCAAACATGATGGCAAGTGCTCACTGGATACCTTAGTCTGAGGAAGGATCTTGCTATTCAAATAAGTCAAGAAGTCCTTGATTATAACAGGGCAGAGGAGATGGTAGCCCACGTAGAGAGGAAAACTCAGCTGGGATTAGTGGCTGCACACACAGCTAGACAAGAAAAAAACAACGTGAAATAATGTATTTCACACTGACTCACCAAAATAAAAGCAAACTCCCTCTTTCTTCTTCTTGAAGAATTCGCCATGGGCTCTGGCATGGACATCAGCTCCATTCTCTACTAGAAGTTTCACTACATCCAGGCTCCTCTTCTCTATGGCAATATGGAGTGCTGTATGGCCTATGGAAATGGGCAAAACTTACCATGCAGTGCTACTGTCAGAGGGAACAGGCAAAGGTCTCTTGAGGAAGGCAGGCTGCTTCAACAATTGCCATACATTCTGCACAGCAATCTCAGCGCTAGGCAGGAGTGGGTGGCAATTGCTGACTTTTAATAATGTATATTGGAAAAGCATATTAGAAACATTAAGCAAGAAGACGAGCCCCAAGACTATCAGGAATTCAACACAAGGCCAGGCATTATCCCAGGCTGGTGCTAAGATCCCAAACCACTATGAACAGAGGAAAAAGACAACCATACATGTACATGGCTACTTTGCATGTTTGCTATTAAAAGGATAACCCAACTGGCAGAATTCATGCTTTAATGCAGTTTTTCTTCAACATTGCAAGATTTAGTACTTTTTTTCTTTCACTTTTAGAAGTACTTTAAAAGTTTTCCAAGCAAATCCTCCCATATTCCTGGGTTATTAAACATGTTACCACTTCTGTTTTATAGACTGGGACCAAAGTTGCAGAGGCGAAGTGTATCACTCAAGGTTGAAGAGGACACTACCAGAATCAGAAATCAGAACTAAAAGGTGAGCAAGCTACTACTGTAACAGCACCAGAACCCTGGGACTGCAGTGCAGCATGAGCTCTCATTTACCTCCTTTTCATTGTATCTGCACATCTCGCCTGTCTGCTGGGGTGGCTGCATCTGACACAGCATCGGCACAGAACCCTTACCTCTGTAGTAACAATCAGAGCACGCAACGTTGACAAGTGGCCTGGGATTCTCTGTCTTTTGGTCTATTTCCAGCAAAACTGGGATTGTGTCATTTCTCCCATTCTTTAAATTCAGCAGGGCTTTCATTAAGCAGGTCTTCCCAGTCTTTGCATCTAGTAGAAAAACAGCATTGAATGGGATGCACATATGCTTGTACACATCTGTATTACCTAATCCAGTGCACCCAGAACTTAACTGTCATTCTAGGATCAAATACAATAATTATTTAAAAGGCCTTTTTCAGTATTTTAGTCCATGTTAGAGGCAAAGGCTTGAGGAAATATGTAATTATTGGCATCCTCCGTCCTCAGATGACCATTAGGAAAATAAAAGCACCGGCTGGAGAAAACGAAGAGTCAAGAACAGATTCCCCCACTACCCAGTCCTGTGCTGACAAGCTCTTCCTCTGCTAAACCAGCTTAGGGACTACTGAGCAGGAATCTACCTGTGTATTCAGAATTGGTGAGAAATTTAGAAGTCCTCCTTAGGTACTCAAGTAAGCCATCCAGTGCCTCGGGGCTGCCCCTTGAGACTGCGCTGAAGAGCCTGTCTCTGTCAAAGCGATTAGGGTCCTTTTGGCTACAGAAGAAATAGAAAGTGTTAAAAAGTTCTGGGGACAGGAAGACAAGAACATGCAATAAGTTCCAGTGGGCTAGTATGAGAAAATGGGAGGGAGGCAGAGGAGCTTGACAGAAAAACAACTAAACAATTTTATTTTTGAGTCAAAGGAAAAATAAAGACAGTTATTTCCCAGAATTCTCTCAAGTGGCTGCAGTTTCCATTAGCTGGAGCTTTTCCCAGATCCAGCCCAATGTGCAATCCTGGAACGCATCCAGAACACAAAGAAAGAGAAGCCCAAGATAGCTCCAGGACCAGAATCAGTCCCATCACATGGCATGAAATGCTCCATGAGCTATTTACATCCCTCTCCTGGCAAGAACAGTTCAGTTGTATAGGGCTCCATGCTAAGCTGCTCTGACACCCAATTTGGCTTATTTGGTGCCAGTTCAGATGCATCCAAAATGTACCACAATGCACGTCATATACATACCTTCCAGGTGCAGAGGGAAAGGTCTAATAGTCTCCTTTCTACTTTAATTATCTCCCATCAGATGCCTTTAATATTCCTGTCTTGCCACTTTTCGTTTATCCTCCTGTAAAGTTTATGGCATTGTATCCATAGGGATCAGCGGGGATCCTACCCTTGTGAAATTGTCAACAGTTACTTACTTGCTTACTAGTCCTGGACGAAAGTTCAAATTAATTTTGATTTTAGGAGCATAGTCACTGCTCTCCTTCTGATAAGGTGTTTCCAAGGGCCGTGGCTCTCCTTTCTTTCCATGTAGCCCTGTTCTTTCTTCCTTTTTACTAGATGCAGGTTTATCTTCCTGGATACTATCATCTGTTTCTAGCAGTCCCATCAACCTATTCCTCTGTCCTGGGCCCGGCTGCCCATTTGTGAAGTTATCCATTTCTAGCACAGACGGTCTTGCAGATCACAAAGGATGTACCAGGATACTACTCCTGCAAGGGAGCAGGAGAGTTAATGCAGTTTGTTCATACTCCTAGAACATGCACAGTGCTGCACATAGAGGAAAGCATATTTCCAGGTCCAAAGTTCCCACAATTGACTATGGCTCCCTTCAGAGAGGGATTCAGTAAAACTCTGCACAACTGGGTGGCTTTGAATGAGGGATCAAGGCCTTAAATACGGTTCCCACAGAGAAGAAGTTCAAAAGCAGCTCATGAAATACAGGCTACTTCTCTGCAGAACACCCGAACCCCCTTTGTGAGATGACCTCACCTGTTGGCAGCAGCACATGTTCCCTACATAAAAGGCAAAGAAAGTGGATCTTTGGGAGACTACGCTCATTGTTCTTATCTCAGTGCAGCCAACGCAGGCTAGTTACCAAGTGGCCAAAAAAAGATTAACTGCGGGGCTTCGCTGCAAAAGAGCGCTCAGTTCGTTTCTGTCTTTTGCTAGTAGAAAGACAGTATTTCTACAGGGAAAATACATATGCACAAATTGCATTCCTTTTGCACATTCTTGCTTTCATCCTGGGGCAAAATGGGGAGGATATAAGATCTCCCCAATGCTGGGGGTTGCCAGTTACTGCTATCCATATCAGCATAGGCCTATACCCAGCACAGCTGCCATGTGGACACTCACAGCACTCGGAGCCTGAACACAGCACAAACTCTCCCAGGAGCAAAGCTGGACCCAGATCTGCTATACAGAGAGTCTGAGTATTCAACAGAGTGCTCAGTCAGCCCACTTCTCTCATCTAATATGGCCTGTACTCCATTTTCACCCTTCTGAGACATTCTTCATATATCTCTCACAACGTCTCAGACCTACACCCAGTGCAAACTATCTGTAGTCAGGATATGACTGAAGATTCACACACAGTTTAGTTTGTGAGGTGGCAAAGAAACATCTATGATTACCAACTTGAACCAGAGCTTACGTTAATAACTCTGTCTTACTTGCATGCACTTCCTCCAAATGTTTAACAGACTTTATCTGAAGATAAATCTCCCTTGGGGGGACTAGAGTCAGACTCCACAGCCAGTTACCAGCACAGAGGTAAATCAACATAGTATAAGCACTCTGGTTTAGATTAGGATGCAGAGAAGTATAGTTAGTTCTAGGCAGAAAACAGCTACAAAACATCTTCATGCAGCTTACAGCAAGAAATCTAAGAGAAACCGCTATAATTCAGCCACTCAGGTTAGTCTGCATTCTAATGACAAATATCCCTCTGCAGACACAGGCATACACCCTATAATCCCCTTTCAGTCATATCTCCTCCCCAAAATACTTACTGGTACATTTGCTGATCCTCTACAAATAGAGAGCTATTTGTATTTCCGTAATAGCTTGCTTGTGCTTTTCTGGCTTCCTTTCCACAAAATCATTTCTCAGCTGCAGTTTCCATCTCTTCTCAGCACTCAAAAGAGTTATTTATTGTCAGTCTAGTACGGACAGGCTGTTTAAAAGCAAGAGCAAAGTGGTCCTAAAAAAGGACCCTTACATACATGCATCCACTTTGTACCTCCCTAAAAAACAGGGAGCACTCTTATCAGCTGAATTTTCAGTTCTCTGTTCAAGACCTGAGCTGTTTCCTACTGCTACTTTGCCAAGCCATTTTGAATAGCATAGCACAAGAAAAGCCTTGCTGTCAAAAGAGGAAGAGCACAGCACTTACCCTGAGTTGCTGCAAGCTCCACCCAAGAATTGATCTGACAGGGAGTCCCAACTGATCCTCCAGAGGCTAAATAATCTCTCAGTAGAAACCAAGTCAAATACCATCAAGTGTTAATAAGCAAGGAAACATTTCCTGAAGACCCCAAATTGTTTATATCCATGGGTGAGAGCCCTCGTCTTCTGCAGAGACGACCATACTCATATTAGCACTTTCTATCAACGTCACAACATGGAACTCCTCCTTGGTGGTCCATGAGGGAATCCAGGCTGCCTATGAGAAGGAATAACCACTGACCATTATTCACTCAACAGTATAGGTTTTTGCAAAGTGAAGAAGGGCTCGCACAGGAAATGACTAGATGGATTTCTCAGAACAACTGAGAGCCAATGAGTGCAGTGCTCTTATATGGGAAAGCTGGCTGGCTATTGCAAATTCATAATGCTTAACCCCTGCTTGCACATACAGAGAAGCGACATCTCGTGGCTTTCAGCAACAGCCCGCTCCGATGTAGCGGGAGGCAGGCTGATTTGACTCATGCATGGACTGGAGCCCATGGTTTAGTTCTGAGGTTTGTCACAAGGCTCCCTCAGTTAGCACCAGGACAGGCAAGAATGCATGGGAACACTTGAGGGCAACTGTTCTGCAAGAAGTCGTTTCTCTTCACACAACTTCACCTTCACACGCCGTGGTTTTGAGGCAGTGCAAACCATAACCAGAATGTTAGCCTATGCAGTATAGGGTGTCAGCCGCTCATCACAAGCACAAGAGATCACACAAAGCAGCCCCAGTTCCTGAAAACTAAGGCTTAGTTTCTTAATGTTTCTTAACTTAATGTCAAGTTACTTAACTGGACATTAGCACCCACTTAATGGGTGGATTCTATACAGTGGTGCAGGCCTGGGAAAGGCTACTTCTGAGAGGACAGACAGGCTATCCCTGAAATTGCTTGGAGATGAGATCATGCTTGCATGCTAATGACCCTTATCACTCCCAAAACAGGACCCCCAGGAAACAGAGAAGGTCAGCCTACATCAGGTGTCTTTCTGAGCTTTTTCTCTCATACTCCTAATAAAACTAAAGCTTGAGGAGGCAGTGTGATCATTATTTCCAGCAGCATTGGTGCAGGGTAACATTCAGCACCTAGAGTCTCAATGACCTTCCACAGCACATCATCTTTGCAGAGTAGTTCTCATCTGTATGCTGTAGAGCACCTACGGTTCACAGAGCCATGTATGTGAGCCAGGGCTCAACTAGGGAAACTGATTAACTAATAAAATGGTATAGAGTTCTCCCAATCACCAGTTTGACAGCAGGGGCACATTCCACAAGAAATCTCAAAAGTTCAGTCACCCACTGGTCCAAACAATGTTAGGAAGGGTAAGTGTCACATCATGAGAATGGCCACAAAAACAACCTACTGAACTCTGGTTGTGGCTTCCTTCTTCCAAAAATGCCACCAGCCCAAAGACAACGGAAAGTAATCCTCATCTGGCAGGATTATAGGATGATGTGGGGCTTCCTGGAATGTGGCCATCACCCACAGAAACATTCCCAGATGGTCTCTACTTTGGATCGGATGCAGGCTGCACAAAGACCTTCCTTTAAAAACATCCAGGAAATGGTAGGGTGCCTTTTTCTCTTTGATGGTTTTGGATGAAATCACAAGCTTATTTCTCAGATTCCTGTGTGGCAAAATTAAGCTGATGCAGTAACAATGCAAAGCTACTTTTTCTTTCCATGCTTAATGACTTATTGGGACCCACAGGATAGCCAATAAAGAACAAGCATTCGCAGAGAAATGCAAGACCACGTCTCATCTCTCCTCTCCCTCATTCCAGCCTTGCACTAATTTAATTCAGTTTGCTTTAGTGATGTTACACTTAATTTACTCTGGTATCAACAGGCATAGAATCAGGCCCAGAAGTTTAGCTCAGACTTATAGGCACAAAGCCTCTTGGGCTTTCCCCCAGCCTTCATGGGAGTTAGTCCACCTTTCAAAGAATCAAATCAGCCCACAGAAGTGAATCTTAACAGATTTCTTTCTGTGCATCTGGTTTTAATAGCTTACACAGAGAAAGGAGAATGTGCAGCTTGCTGGGAAAGGAATCACTGCCAGCTGAGAGGTCAGCACAGCAAAATAGAAACAAAGCTGCTGGGAGAACACAAACATTGGTATGCAGGCACACATGCGCACACACTTTCACAGAGAGCACACAAGGGTAAACATTAGCATTTCCATTTCAGCAAAAGAAGCAGCAAGGCAGAAAAAATATAAGACCTACCCAAAAGTGTATTTGTCAGTGACAGAGCACTCTGAGGTCAGTAATGGAATTATTTCACTGTTGTGCACTAGCCAGCTGAGCTGGTTGTGATGCTTAAAAAGGATCTTGCCACCCAAAATTAAAATCCTGATAGGTGATAGAGCTCAGAAGAAAGACATCCAAAGTAGCACACAGGCAGGATACAGGGAACAATTTAATTTCACCCAAATGCCAACCTGCATTTTCAAAAGCAACATGTGATCCTCTTGCCTTTTTAAACTTTTATTTGGAGGAATGAGGAGGAATCTTGTGATTGCTTAATATTTATTTTATTGATGAAAATGAGTCAGAAGTGCCTGAGAGTTCAAAGTTTCTCCTGCCAGGAGAGCCACATTCTATGGAAGCCTTAAATCCAGGAAGAGATTAGTCAAATTTGGAACTATTAAGTGAAATTTTAAGTCAAATTGTAGGAAGAAATTTCATAATGAAATGTATCCTCTGATATAAAGGACAGATGAAGAAGCACAGAAATTCATGACAGAACAGGAAAAACAATGACACTGAATCTGTTTAAACAGTAGGCAACAGTAAGCAGGAGGAAAACAGATGAACATTTTCTCTGTTCCCTTAAGTGCTCATTTTTACCAAATATTTTAAAATACAATACTCTGTATGCTGCAAATAGAAAATCAAAGTCACTTACATTTACCTGTAGCTTAAGTACAATGTTGATCTGTAGCCACTCTGTAGTGGTAGCAGCTCCAAATCATCTTCACAGGAAGAGGGAAGACAATCTGTAATAGCAGCATGCAGGGTGGACTATTAAACTTTCTCCGGAACAAATGGTAGGCCAGCACTTATTCAAACCTTGTGAAGGTCAGAGGGCTAGAAGAGAATACTGTTTCTTTTAAAAATGTATTGCCCTCAGACTTGGGGAAATATGAAGCATTTTTGCAGAGCCAGACTTTTTTTTCTATATAACTTTTAGGTAAACCCCACACTGAAGCAGTGAATTTTAGCAGTTTGATGTTATAGTTACACAGATGGAATCTTCTACCTTCAGAGGGACCAGCTGATGTCCTACCTAAAATCCAGACGCTCTTACATACGATTCCTTGCTAGGACTTCATTGGTGGCCTTGGGGATTCGATTAATTTAAATTATAGTATTTCAATAACTACTAGCCTTACATCATAATATTTAAAGGCTATCTATGTATTTCTCAGCCTTTTAAAGCAACCATTCACTTCTCATGTTCTTTAAATGGAAGGGTATCCTTTCCTGTATGATTACAGCCTGAAGAAATACTGCACTCAAGCAAGCAAGCTTGTGATAATCTAGTAACAGCCAAATATAAAATTCAACAGCACCGTTTTAAAATAACACTTCTGTAAAGCAACAGTGACATCCTGTGGTCATGAAGTAAACCTTCTGAATTCCTGATGCGGAAGAAAATAGCCTCTAGAGGAACTCTTCAAATTACGAAAAAGAGTTGCAAGCATACACTTGGGAGAACTAAAGTCACTTGCTTACTCTTTATAATAAAAGAGTTATCAGGAGTTTGTCTAGTTAAAAAAACACCAGTTCCAAATAATGCCATTTTTTGATAATGCAATAATGTTCCATAAATATAAAATTGCACAGCTAAGCAACAATCTTTGAATGTAGCTACCACGTGATGCCTTTGGAACTACAGTCAATACTGCAAAAGCTTGGGTATTTCAATTGTTTCTCTCCTTAATCCTCACCTCCTTTATATGAGCACATTTTAGGGTAGTTGCTAATACAGCAAAACACAAAGCATACCCCAAGAACAGTAAAACGGCGTTATCTAATTTCTTAAAACAGATTGAAACATTTGTTTATAAGCACAGAAGACATAAAAACCCTAAAAATCTAGAATTAAAAAAAAAAAAGGAGAATTTGAAATTAACTGAAGCTATAAAAAAAAAATGCAAAAATCTCTCATAAAGCTCAGGTTGCAGCAGGATAAAAGATATGACCAGAATCTGTTGTCTACATAGGAGCATTATGACTATCCCATTTTAACAGCGCATACGTTACGGCTAAAGTCCATTAAACTCTTCAGTTTAGCTAGAAATACTTCAATCTAAGTAGGTTGAATTGAGGTACTACCACAATGTAAGAAAAACAAATTTTGTATCTCAATTACTCCATCAATTATTTACATTACCTGATGCAACATATATTGTCATCTTTTGTTCATAACTTCTTCAGTATATAAAATTTGTTATGGAAAATCATATCCTGTAATTCATAAACTACACACACACATATCATTCCCCTAATTCTCATCTTTTAGGATAAATTGCAAAGAATTCTTTTAATAAAGAAATTCCTTGCAGTCATCTCTGCATCAGAGAGATGAGAAACCTTGATAATACAGCTCATACAAGACAAACAGGAAGGACAGCACAAGTATCCTAGCACCTTCACAGCCAGCTTTATTCAGCACTCACCGACTCTTTCAGCCAGGATGCTGCGGCAGTTTAACTCTAGCATCTGCGCACTGCGCTCCTTGTATGGTTTCCAAGATGTGCTGTGATATGCTGTTTCTAGTAAGCCAAATGCAGCTCATTTTCAGCACGAGCCTCACCTGAAGTGTGGAAACAGCACGCTGACACGTTCAGTTTCACACAATTAGCTCAGGCTACCTAAACCAGGCCTGAGCTGCTCCTGCATTTGTTAAATACCTGAACACCGTCCCCTCTCCCCATGGCTCATGACAGCAGGTACAATATTCGACCGAAGCAGGATCCACACGTGGCTCCACTTTTAAATCATCTACAAACAGGAACACTAGAAAGTACCAGCAGAGGCAATGGCTCCACATAGATTTAGCTTGGGTTGAAAAAAAGCCAGAGTGAGTACACACTGCAGAAAGTTACAAAGACCCACTCAGGTGTCTACAGATCACATTCCCAGTGCCCCATTCTTGGAGCGCAGGCTAGGCCCCAAAGATAGCTCTGCGCAAAGCCAAGTGCACCTAAGATGGTCTAGTAAGCCTGGGTTCCACATCAAATTTGAGTAACGCTTCTGTGACAGTTCTTTCAACAACTGACCCAGAAGAAGCGTACCTGCCATTTACAGATATACACAAACCCCCAAAAGACCAACTGCACCTGTAGCCTGAGTAACCCGATCAAGTTAGTGAATGTAACTTACTACACAATACAGCTGAACTACTAAAAGAACTTGTCAAATGACCTCTCCATTATGAGAGTGAAGATCAAGCAGCTAGCTTTACCGTGGAGCAAATCAGCAGCAGAGAAAGCTAAGTAACTCAGTGCCACATCTCCTCTGGACTATAAACTGCTCAGGGAACTTATACACTACTAAAATAAATAGCAGGATAGCTGGGCTGTTATAGACACCCAGTCTGAAATGGCTGAACTGAAAAAAGCACAAAACAATGGAAAGGCCAAAAAAAAAAAAAAAAGCAATCACAGGAAACAATCCAGGGAAAGCATCTCCAACACAGAAAAAAGTTTTCCATGGGACTATGCCAACTTTACATTTGATTTCTGCTAGCACAGCTATGCATGCCAGTCAGGGAAGAAAACCATGCTAAAAAACAAAAAAAATCCCAAAATACTATTACAGTTATAACTAGCAAAACTGCATGTTTAACCTACTTTGCTACAATGGGTAGGTTTTTTTATGAATTTAAAAGTGTAACTTGTTTGCTACAACTACCTCCATGAATGCCCTGGTAATACAGGAGCACTACTAAGCCACAGGCAGCCCCAATAAACACTCAGTAATATTAGACAGAAAACTGAAGTTTAAGAACTAATTTTTATCAGTAACCCTACAGCAGTTTAAAAACAAAAAAAAAAAAGGTGCAGGTGCATAGTACAGAGTATCCTGTAAAAAGCAAAGTGCACCAGCAAAGAAACACCATGCATATAAGTAGGTGAGTGCTAAGGCTCAATCAGCTAAAAAGCTGTCAAAACTCCAAAGAGAGGAAGACCCTCACAATTGTAATTCTTTCAACTCAGTCTCTACAAAGGGGAACTTTTAAAATTTTAAAATAGGTAATTGTTCAAGACCAACCACTTGTAATGTAAGTGAAACAAACCAAGTCACACCAGAAGTTTCTGCACAGCTGTCCACATTAACTTGTTTTCTTAACCCACCTAGTAAGAATAAAATTAGGTCAAAACTCTGTAGCTTGTGGCTCCACAATTAAGAATTCAAGTTCTGTAAAAACTACTATTAACTCAAATCTACTACAATTCAGTCACATATTGCCATTCAATATTTAAGGCACAGCATTGTTTTATTTGAGCTAATGTATTACTGCATCCTCCTAAACTGCCTGCAGCACACAACTGCATCAACACTAGAAATGAGTGCTTCCTGGAATTATTCCCTCCCCAGATCATCATCCAGTTGAGTCAACCAGCAGAGACACACCCCACCAGTTATTTCATTCAACTTGCTTAGAGTAGGCCATTTCTGGTGTATATACTGCACTCCCCCCTTCCTCCAGGGTGAAAATTGGAATGTTTGCCAAATTGGCCTCCAAAGAGGATACTGAAGCTGGTGGCTTCATGCAGCTGTCAAGCAGTGGATCTAGTCTCACTGACATCTGAGAGTTAAAATTAACCAATTTAAACACAATTCAAAAGCTACAGCAAAAAACACACCCCACAACCACTGCATTGACAGTCATATCTTCTCAATCAACTTTGTTTGGTCTGGTTGCAGCTTTCTAGAGTCTTTACTAAAATGTATTATTCTACTTGGAAACACAGGATTTTGTTCTTAGGTCCTGGGAAAAGGAAATAGCATGAAACTAGCACTTAAAATAAGGCCTTAATCCACATCTGTTTCATCCACAATATCCTCATTACACAACCTAAGAGGCTTAAATTGCCATAGAAGAAAGCCACAACAGGCATGTAATTGAAGTATACCAGCTTTACTAGCTTGAACTGAGACAGACTACAAATTAATGTGCAACAGAAAACTTTATTAGCATTTAAACAGACAGTTCAGCAGTTACTTAAGCTTGCATTAACTTTGCATTTAACTTAAGACATTAAAGGACTACAGTGCAAAAAACAAATGCTATTGGCAATCTTGCCAAGCAAGATACACAATAACTAACAGCCACCCCTCAGGCGCAGCACAAGGTGCAGGGTGGACTCCTTCTGGATGTTGTAGTCAGACAGGGTGCGCCCATCTTCCAGCTGCTTGCCAGCAAAGATCAGCCTCTGCTGGTCGGGGGGAATGCCTTCCTTGTCCTGGATCTTGGCCTTGACATTCTCAATGGTGTCACTGGGCTCAACCTCCAGGGTGATGGTCTTGCCAGTCAGGGTCTTCACAAAGATCTGCATGCCACCCCTCAGGCGCAGCACAAGGTGCAGGGTGGACTCCTTCTGGATGTTGTAGTCAGACAGGGTGCGCCCATCTTCCAGCTGCTTGCCAGCAAAGATCAGCCTCTGCTGGTCGGGGGGAATGCCTTCCTTGTCCTGGATCTTGGCCTTGACATTCTCAATGGTGTCACTGGGCTCAACCTCCAGGGTGATGGTCTTGCCAGTCAGGGTCTTCACAAAGATCTGCATGCCACCCCTCAGGCGCAGCACAAGGTGCAGGGTGGACTCCTTCTGGATGTTGTAGTCAGACAGGGTGCGCCCATCTTCCAGCTGCTTGCCAGCAAAGATCAGCCTCTGCTGGTCGGGGGGAATGCCTTCCTTGTCCTGGATCTTGGCCTTGACATTCTCAATGGTGTCACTGGGCTCAACCTCCAGGGTGATGGTCTTGCCAGTCAGGGTCTTCACAAAGATCTGCATGCCACCCCTCAGGCGCAGCACAAGGTGCAGGGTGGACTCCTTCTGGATGTTGTAGTCAGACAGGGTGCGCCCATCTTCCAGCTGCTTGCCAGCAAAGATCAGCCTCTGCTGGTCGGGGGGAATGCCTTCCTTGTCCTGGATCTTGGCCTTGACATTCTCAATGGTGTCACTGGGCTCAACCTCCAGGGTGATGGTCTTGCCAGTCAGGGTCTTCACAAAGATCTGCATGTTGAACTACAAAACATATAGAATTTCCAGCCTCAATTAGCTTGTGAAATAAACAATCACATGACCTTTAATCACTTGAAATAAAGCAATTTTTTCTGCCACCTCTCAAAAAATAGTATGCAATACTGTTTAAAATGAACATTTGTTAACTCAACCACTTCTACAGCTACTCTCCTGTTTTTTTGCTCTTAAAAAAATTACTCCCTTCAAGCCACAGGCTGCTATGTTTGTCCCCTTATACAACCATTTCTAAAAACAGAGCTATTGCCCTCCCTTACATCATCTCCCTGCAGATCACCAGCTCCCGGGTACTACATCTCCTTCTGCTCCTCCCCCCCCCGCAGCAATTGCGGTGGAGCAAGGCACCACCACCTCCCCCACCCCTTGAAGCTCCTGCAGGACCTCACAGAGGCACCTCGCAACAGCGGCACTGCCCCACTTCCCCTCAAGTGGGTGACTCAGCAGCCTATTTCCGAGTCAGAAAACAACGATGATCTGCTCTATTTCACGCTACTACTACTCTGTCTGTATGGGAAAAAAAATCATTTATTTCTCCTCAGCCTTCAACAGTAGCATTCAGGCAAACAGAAGGCTCTGCATAGACCTCTGAGGCACCCAAAAATACTGCCCAACAAATACCCACCCCCCTTTTCTATCTCTCTTCCCCCTCCTCCCAAAAAAGGGCACAATATCGTTTCATTTCCAGTCTTCCCCCCCCCCCAACACCTTCCCACCACTCGACTCACGTCTCCGGCCCTGGGACTTGCTCGCTCACCCACCACGCTCGTCTTCCTGCAACTGTTATCTGCCTAGGTGACGCAGCTCCACCCCTATTTATACGGTTCGCGTCAGACACTTTCCGCCTCCTGTAAAGGAATGTGTCCCTCCGCCGCTCAAAGTAGTCCCAAGTAAAAGACCACCTCCGTGAAGTATACTCGCCTTGGCCTACTCTGATCTGTCTTCAAAAGGACAAAGGGATCTCAGATCTTTCGTGTGAGAACTCAGACCCCCGAAAAACGAGAAATTTTTGTGGTGCGGATGGATTTCGAGGTGCGGTGAGAGGGCGATTAGAAACATAGGAAGTTTGCGGATGGCAGGCGGGATTTTGGAGGCACTTGCAGGTGATTGGTGCAGAAGCAGGAAAAGCGGGCATTGATTGGTTGATCGGGGGAGCGGGCGGAGGAGGGAAGAGGAGCTGTGCGGAAAAGTCTGGAAGATTCGGGTGCTGCTGGGCGCTGATTGGTGGACAGTGAGGTAAGCCCTGTTGCTAAGGTGGGCCGCCTTGCGGGGGCAGATTTCAGCCAAGCGAAGGTGGTGTGCGCATGCGCGCTCGCGCTGCTGGACCTGGGTGGGGGTGGGGAGGTGCGTTGTGTGTGGTGGGGGGAAGCGCTCGGACCCTGTCGGGACTGGGACTGGTTCGGGGACGGGGACGGTTTCTTTAGGTCATGTCCCAGCCCCAGGCAGTGCTTAGGGAAGAGCTTGGAAGGAGGGGTGGGTGAAGGTGCCCTAGAGAAAGATGAATTGCCCTTGGTGCGCTCTGTGTGGTGACCCACAGAGTTACCAGAGCATTTTCCCCGCTTCCCCAGGGAAATGTAGTGTGGAATATTTACTTCTGGGCCCTGAAATAGTTTGTAGGGCTAGCCTTGTTTTACATGGCTGTGAAGAAAGGCCAGGAAGAGCAGAAATGAGTTAGCAAGCTGGAAAATGATGTTAGTCAGAAATGAGTCAAGAGTTTGTGGCTCTTGCTGCCTGCCTCTAGTCATGCAGCCCCTTTCCCAAACTGCCCTTTAAACCACTTTCAGCAGGCTGACAACTTAATTTGTTAGCATGAGGCTGCAAAGCAAGCCTCTGATGAAATGCAGATATTCGAAATTCAAATGGCTGTTTACCTGTTTTCGGAACAGGAAGCTCTGATTGGGAACAACTTCATCCTGTGGGCTGATGTGCAAATGCCTTTCATGTTAATTAAGCTTTATTATACCTTTCAAATTGGCTTTTAACTCCTCATGTTACATCTGCAGTATGCAAAATCCTAAAAGGTTTTCATGTGGTACCGCTTAAGTTGGTACAAGTTCCTTCAGTGAACCCAAATGAACTTGCTGGTAAATCCTCTACTCCAAAGCAGGCAGGCGAAGAGCAGGATTGAACACAAAGTTATACATTGTATGTGTTTCCCTTGATTAACAAAAGCTTTGGTTTTCTTTCCCATAACAAGGCTTGCGTCTGTTAGGACCTCCCAGTTGACAGTGAAAAGGGGGGGAGGAGGGAAAATCATCCAAAACAATCATTGTTCACAATGTAAAAACAGGAAGAAAAGAGGAAAACGCTAACCGGAAAAGTTCAGAGATAGTTCTACGGCAATAGCCAACCTCTGAAATACTATTCAGCTACATACGTTCAGGCCAAATTGGAGATTTAAGCAGTATTACATTTGTTTTCTTTGTGCTGCCAGTTTTGCTCAATGTTTCAAATAGGCTCATTTTGTTTGCATAGTGCCAAAGTGGCTAAATGTTTGACCCGAGGCTAGCCTGGGTATGCTGCGCACCTCACGCAGTGTGCCAGGGAACCTTCTTCCTCCAGCCCCACGATACCTTCGAGTCATGAAAGGAGGGGTGCGAGTTAAATAAAAGTAACGTTTAAAAATGTGAAAGGCCAGATCTGTCACACTGGAGATTAAGCGCAGGCTGATCTGACGGCGCAGGTTTGAGCACATCAGACTTGTATTAAGAATTTTACTGTGCATTTCCTTCTGTTTGTTTTTTAATCTCCCCTCTAGAGCTCAGGGAAGCGCAGTGCTTATGAGAGCTGGAGGAAATATTAAGGAGGAGGATAAATTTCTCTCTCTTTCTTTTTTTTTTGTGCTTTTATGTGCAAACCAGAAAACACAGGAGCCTCTCTCTATTTTTTCTAAATATAGCTAAAACCTATGACTAAACTGCTTTCACTATTGTTGTTCATTTTCTGTTTAAGTATTCAAATCAACAGATTAAAATAAAGTCCTGGGAAGATGGGGTCTATGATGGGCAGTTCTTTAAATTTGTTATTATTAATGGCTTTTGAAAAATTCATTCTTCAGGGAAATGTCATTACTCAAAACAAGCACAGGCAGCAGCATGCTCACATTGAATGCAGATTCCATTTTAAAAATAATTATGGATGAAATTTGTCAAGTCCACACAAAAAGCCCTATTATTTTCCTTCATTATCCTGCTGTCAAAATTGCTAAACAAAGAATTAGGCTTTGTGCACACAACTCTAGGGTCTAGCAGCATTAAACTAATCTCCACAGCCTGCAAACGACACTACACAGGCCACCGTTAGCGTTTTTTAACCTCCACTGATTGAATTCATTTAATTCCCCAAACTATTAATCTGCAGTGGCTATCTACACGCCTGTACAGAGACCACCATTTTTGCTTGCAGGCAGATATAGAGGCCTTACGAAAACACTTCTTTTCCTGCTCCTTTTTTTTTTTTTTTTCCTCTGTGGTAAACTCATGTGCTCCAAGTGTTACACACACCATGTTTGCAAAGATTTTTTTATAGTACTTTAATGATACTTATTATCAAACTGAAAGGTTTTTTTTAAAAAGTCAAAAGGCTGTGTATATGCACCATGGGCCAGATTCTGCCTCGTTTTCCTGTGTTACATGTACAGAACAACCTCCCAAACTGGAAGTGAAGGCCGTGTGATTTCATCCATGGCAGAATTTGAGCTTTACCTCAGAAAATATTTTTCTTCAGAAAATATTCTACTACCTGAATTTGATACAGACAAAGGAGATCTGTTTGTCCTTAAGTGTTGTGCTAACTGTTGTGGTCGTACAAAACATACGTATTTAACATATATATTCGCCTTCCTCCAGCAGTTCTAGGTGAATAATAATGGTCAAGCAGCTGACTGTGAATTGTATATAAATAAATGCAAAGCTGAAAAACAGAAATCCAGATCCTGTGACTGGTCTGACTGCACAGGTGGTTCCAGCATTTGCCAGGGCATGGGGCCTTCGGCTGGGAACACATATTCCTTGCCGAGTGGTTTCAAAAGTAGGTCATTGGGCAGTAGTACAAAGCAACCTACTTTCAGAAGAGAAGCGGGGGTCACAATAAATGTTTCCAATAAATTTGTACATTCTGGAACACAAGCTGTTGGCCTTGTTTATATGTACACTAATGTCTTAGCAACAGCATATCACTTCTGCATGGGCAATGTCAAATGAAGCAATCTATTTATCTTTAGCTACAAGGGTTTAACTTGGGACAGGCAGCCAGTCAGAGGATTTGAATGCGTGTAGAAAGTTCAGTTCTTTTCCTCAGATTATTATAGGACTACTTGCCAAAGGGAAAAACAACGTATATTCCTATCTCATAATATCACTCACATTTGCCTTAGGTCTCTCTCACTGTGTATGACACATGATAATTATATTTACCTATTTACAGTTGTGAAGATAAAATAATATTTTTAACACGCACTCCTCTTCCCCAAGCCTGTAACACAGTAATAAGGCCTAGTCTTTGCTGAAGTTCCAGCCACAAGACAAATTCAGCTGTCACGTGTTACTGCTTGTCCTTGTACTGCCAGGCTCAAGGGTTACAAAAATATGAGTCACAATTCAAAGCACCATGAGATTGTTTTTTATATCATGAGTTTACCAAAAAAAGGCAACTCTCCGAGTTCTTGTTTGCTTTAAGTCTAATGCTAAAAATACCTTAAACTAACAAAGTTTTTAAATTTAGCTACTAACTTTAGGAGCTGTAGACTTAAGAAAAACAAATAGACACTCAGATTTGTAGTAAAATTAGAAGACTAGGCAATGCTCATGTATCCCCCTGCTAGTTTAAATCACAGTTTGACTTTGCAGGACACATGGGATAGAGCTTCGTTTGAAGATCTATGCTGCCACTGTAAACATGCTTGGGCACGTTCTGAATAGGTCTAGATGACCTAGAGGAAAGAAAACCTAGCTGTGTGACTAATTATGCCAGCACTCGTATCACTGCTAGGACAAATTTTGCCAATGTGGGATATTTAAGAAATATCTGCACAGGTTAAGTTTAAGAGTGCCTAAAGAATTGTAATGAGAAATTAGATCAGCAGAAAAAGAACGAAAGAAATGGTAACCAATCACGCTTATGCTAGATAAGCTGGGACTGCTGGTTTTGAGACATGCTTAGAATCATCTGCTCTATACTTCTTTCTTCTAAAAAAAAAAAAAAAAGCTCTTAAAGTAGATTTGCAGAAAACAAACATAGTTTATCTCCTTTGGGTTTAAAGTGTTTAGAAAACAACATTTAGCAACTCTGTATGCTTCTGATTTAAGGAAAATTAAAGGCCATTTTATAAAGGCACCATTAACCTAAATTCACAGGTTTGTTTCTGCATGTTATGCCAGTGAAAGCTACAACTAATAACTAGTTCTATTCTAAAAATTACTTGTCTGCATCTTCTCAGCCTGGTCCATCTCCTGCTTGTGAGTCTTTTGGATCTGATCCAATTTGCACTGCAGTGAAGGAAGTCTCTTTGTTCATGTTCTCTGCGTCTGTACCAATTTAGCACGTAGTTTCTGCAGTGAGGTTTTTCAGCAGGATAGGAAAAAAGCACCTTGAAAAAACAGAAAGAAGGAATAAGACCTAGAATGCTTTTAATCGTTATTAATAAAGTATATCTATTTCAATAGAACCTCACTACCTAGTGAACAAGAACAAATACTGCCCAAGCTATTCTTTATAGCCTCTCTCCATTGGCCCAGAGATGATACTTGTGGCCTATATTTTGTCTCCGTATTTTTCAGATCCACCTTGGATCCCTTGATGGTGAGCAGACTGCCCCGAATGCTTTCCCCTCCAAAATATTAAAGACTAGAACCCAAGGATTGACGCTTTTCTCTGCTGCACAAACTGTGTCCTGTTAAGTACCCTAATTCTTTTAAGTATGGTGTTAGCTATACATTACTTTTAGTTCCTTGCTTGTTAGATAAAAAGACAATATCCACACTTCCTAATTTCTCTTTAGCCTACAAACACATAGCTGCTTTCGGTGCTTCTGCAGTGAAAATGCCCTTACAGGCAGAATCTCAACGCAGACTGCAGGCCAGATCTGCAGAGCTGAGTCACTGTTACACAAGCAGAGTGGGGATGGCACAGAAAAGTACCTTTGTACTTCAACACTGAAACACGTCAGCTGTCAAGGGCCCTGAACTTTGAATATCACAAGACAGCTAGGGAATAAACAGTAATTTACTGGAATTTTCTTCCCCTTGTTCTTCTCATCATCTTTCGAAAACAGTAATTCCTTCTCCATTTTGTCTCTGAAGCCTAAGAGCAAACGTTCTTCATCAAGCTTTTGGCTTCTACTAATATTTGGGCAAATACTGCATCAGATTTGGAAGCAAGTGAAAGGTGAATTCTTTGGGCACTGGGGAACGCTTGATGCCCAGGTACACTGACAATACAGTGTGAAACCAATGAGATTTAGGACTTGCAGTCAGAGTAGCTGCGAAACACACCATTACTAGACACATCGCTTATTTATGTGAGATCCAGTTTTGAAGCTTTAAGAGTGCTCTGTAGTAAAAAAGGACAAAAAGGAGAAAATATTTTTTACTATGGCCTTCTGAAGTAAGACTACCTCTAGCTCTTCCAGCCGGCCTTGCAGTTCTTTGTCTTGAAACTTCATCGGAGAACAGCATTTGGCTTCTCAAAACAGTTTCTACACTTATAATATGGTGAACTATTTGTGGAGTGGAGCAGAGAGTGACAGGCTCCCAGATATTACACAGATTGCATTTTCACTCTAGTTTTCATGCTGGAACCCCTTTTGAGAGTGTACAAGTGCCAGTGGCTCCTGTACAGCAAAGGGGAGGCAATTGGTGTGAACTGATCAGTAACCACCCCCTAAAATTTGTTCCGACTTTCAGTTGAGTGCAGTCCTTAGAAAAGGACAGACCACTGCAGGCTGAAACCTGCAACTGCTGCAGGCTGCACCTGCATTAAAGGCAAATGAAGCCGTGCTGTAAACCACACACAGACTCTATTTCAGTTCACAGTCTCCAGTTTTGCCTCCATGACTTTTCCTCCCGGAACATAAGGTGACTAACGCGAAATCTAGCGTGACTAAAGAAGGTCTGGGAGTGGCTCAGATTGGGAGCTACAGATGGACGTTCTGGCATGGGCCAGAATTTGTCACATAGAGCGTATTTAAAATGGTTCCATTAGGATGAGTAACCAGCACAGAGCTTCTCATGAGGAATAACAGGAAATTGTAACTCAGTACCCTTTCTGATCATTAGAGAAGGGAGATGCTGAGCCATGGGGTTGTTATGCCAGTCCTGCCGTGTGCCATCTCAGGCGGCAGCCTACACACTGCAGTCACACATTTTCAAAGCTGTTTTCCAGGTCAGAGCAGGCTGATAGTTGTTTCATCATTGCCCAGTTGCTTTGCTGTATTCATGGCCAAGATGTCATCGTAGGTCAGGAGAAATGACCCTCCAGTACCCCTTCTACCCACTACCAGACTGGCAGCTTGTTTACTTCTTTCTCTGTTTCCCTTCTTTAAGGGAAGACATTAAGACCTACTGAAAATACAAGTTTTTGATTGAGGTTATAACTCTGGCGAAATAAAATTCCACTCTTACAACATTGACCACAAAGATTCGGCTTCACAGTGACTTTCTTTTCCTACCAAATATGACTTGGACACCAAGTTCTTATACCTCTGCCCTGCATTGACAGGTTTTAATTGAGGAATAGCTTTGTCTTTCAGATGTTCGAGAATAAGCTTTTATAGATTTTTTTACCACAAAAGAGGTGCTTTCACATTCTTCTAAGCTTTATAAAAAAATTATTGGTATAGACTATCATCTTAATTGTTTTCCTTTTTTACTTTAAGACTTTGGCCCCAGCATTTGTGAAAAGTTGTCTAGTGGGCATCGCGTTAGAACATATTTCTCTGGAAGGCAGCTGCAGTGATTTCAAACCCCTGGAAAGAAAGGGACCAAACACACTTCTGAAGGTGCCTACTGATACATGGCAGTACTGTTAAAAAGCAGCCATGTTTCTAAGCAAAGGTGGGTGCATAGCAGGGGTGTGAAGCCATATACTTTGAAGAGCACCTGAAGTCTGCAAAGCACCTTGACATCCTTCAATATGTGAGGCACTGTATTTATAATTGATGGAAACAGCTTTTGCTAACGCTTGTAGAATGCTAGATAACTGGCATTTCTACCCTTACAAGCTATTGTGCAAGCCAGGAGATGTACTGAATTTGACCTCCTGCAGATCTGCAGCTCGCACCTGCATCTTCTTCCTGTGCATCTGGGTGGTGGGTGAGACCAGGGTGGGGGGCCCTGGATGCGATGGATCCCTGGTCATCTGCTGCCCCAGAAGCCTGGGCTGGGCCCCGATTTGGGTGGTTTCCCTCTGCAGAAGCGTCGTGCCTTCGCGGTAACGGTGTCTCCGTCAGACGCGGGTGGAATTGCCCAGCAGAGCGCAGGGTGGCCAGGGAGGAAGGAGCC